GGAGTCTCCTGGGATCGTTATGGCCTAGCACATTCACAGGAACGAAGGGATAAGAGCAAACGTTTCCCAGCACTGGAGCCCTGATGCCACAGGAAGGAAAGGAGCTGTCAGAGGCCAGGTCAAGGGCAGGTTCCCATGAATGTCAGAACCACGAGGTGGTGCACACAGGACTGCAGCGCTAAGAAGTCTCTGAGAGAAAGTGTCATCTGTACGAAAACTCTAGCTGGCCACCCCCTCACTCTCAGTGCACACCTCCCCCCTGAAATGTATTAGGACACCGAATCGGGGGAAATAAGTGCTTTGAAATTCTGCCCTTTCTGTGCTCCAGATGAGCCATTTGTGGGGCTTCGAGTCAGCCACTAAATGGCAGAAAATGTAAGCTGGGTGACAGGTCCTCTTACACCCATGTAAGCTGGTTGACAGGTCCTCTGAGTGCACAGCCTGAGTGCATCTGTTTCTCCTTCCTTCTTGCTTCTTGCTCTTTTCCTGTCTCTATGGATTTAACTCTTCTGGATAGTTCTTATAAGTGAAATTGTACGATATTTGTCCTTTTACATCTGATTTCATTCAAGGTTCATCCATGTTGTATCATGTATCAGAATTTCGTTACTTTTTAAGGCTGAATAATATTCCATGTGTGCATATATCTGCTTATCCATTGATAGGCCCTCAGGTTGCTTCCTTTTTTTGGCTATTGTAGATGATGCTGCTATTGACTTTGGTATACAAGTATCTGTTTGAGTACCTGCTTTCACTCTTTTGGGGTAGATCCCTAGGAGTGGAATTGCTGAATCATATTCTGTGTTTAACTCTCTAAATACCACCAAACTGTTTTCCATGGAGCCTGCACCATTTACTGCACAAGGGTTCCAATTTCCCCACATCCTCACTAATACTAGTTCTTATCTTGTAGATTAGAGCTATCATAGTGTGTGTGAGAGGTATCTCATGTGGTTTTGTATATTTAATCTTTAATCCTTCTATCATTTAAATTTTGGATGGTGCAAAGCATCATTTTTAAAAAAATATTTTTTTTCTTTTTAGTTGTCAATGGACCTTCATTTTATTTATTTACATGTGGTGCTGAGGATGGAACCCAGTGCCTCACACATGCTAGGCAAGTGCTCTGCCACTGAGCCAGAATCCCAGCCCTCTAAAGTACATTTTTTTGTTTGGGTTTTTTTTTCTCCAAATAACTGGGCATTCTCAACATGTATGGTATTGAATTATTCCCTTCCCTACTTGCATACAATGTCACTTTTGTTTTACATTAAATATGGATACATAGATCTATCTCCAGATATCTTCCTAGCATATACTTTGTCACTATGCTGATGCTATACTATATTAATTGTTTTAAGATCTGGGAGGACAAATGCCTCCCCCAATATTGTCCTTCTTTTTCAAAATTTTATTGGCAATACTTAAACATCGTATCTTCCAGCTTAACTGAGAATCAGCTTAAAGTTTCATTAAAAATTCCCGTCAGAGTTCACTGATCAGCTTGGGCTCCCTCTTCATTACAGTACTTACAGTGTAAACTATTTTTGTTGTCTGTTTTTTACTACCCATAGAAAAATAATAGAGAGATGGGAAATAATGGAATCTAAGACAGGCTAGTTTGGCTCTTTGAAGAAGCTCTGGAAAATATTTAGAGAAAATTAAGTTCTGAGTTCAGGACCAAAATGAGCAGGAGCAATGGAAAGACAGAACTGCTCTTCTCAGTTACCTGAACTAAGGTTTAGTGCATCTGATTCATAGAGAATGGATTCAGTTATTCCAGAATTTTTGTATTGCAGAATATGAAAAAAAGCCTTTATATATACATATACACACATCTGTTTATTTCTCTAGTATGATGCTGTCCGAATAAACCAACTCTATGAACAAGCCAGGTGGGCTATTCTCTTAGAAGAAATTGACTGCACAGAAGAAGAAATGCTGATCTTTGCAGCACTACAGGTA